GTGTGTGTGTGTGTGTGTGTGTGTGTGTGTGTGTGTGTGTGTGTGTGTGACAGAGAGAGAGAGAAGCTGGTAAAGAAAAGTACCTTAACAGTCAATATTAACCTAATATTACAAAATCAGTTTGGACAACCAAACAAACCACTGACAATTTCAGGCAGCAATCTAGATTTCCCACCAGAGTGGCCTTATTTTTTTCCATTTTCATCTTCCAATCCCTTTTCTCTTATTCTTTCTTACTTTATAGTTATTACTTAGTCTGATTGGTGGCAATCAAAACTAAAGACACTACTAACTGATGTTGCAATAAAATCCTGTTTGCAGGACAGTTTTAAAGTTTGCTTTTAAAACATTTTTTTTAAAAAACATACATTTTTTCCAAATTGTCAGTAGTAAAAATTTCCTGCAAGGATCAATACTGAGACCATATCTTGACCTTCACCAGGTGTTCATATTTTTAAAGCCATGTTTTATTCTTAAAACCAAAAAATGGGGGGCAGCTGGGTGGTGCAGTGGATAGAGCACCAGCCCTGAAGTCAGGAGTACCAGAGTTCAAATCTGGCCTCAGACCAAACACTTGACACTTCCTAGCTGTGTGACCCTGGGCAAGTCACTTAACCCCAAATTGCCCAAAAACAAAACAAAAAAAAATGTTTTAAAGGAAGATATTAAAGATTTTCTTCTTAATAGAAGACAATTAAAAAGTGAAAAAATATACAATCACATTATTGCTTACTCACAGCTAGTTTCTACATTATCTTATACCACAGTCTAGATTTTACAATAGCTGGGACATGTTTTCCAAACAAAATTAAGGAACAGTCTAATTTGCAGGTATATCAATTCAAACCCTGAAATAAAATATATACTTTTATCAAAGTTAAAACATTTATATTTAGTTATATAATCATTAGTTCACTCATTTGTAAAATGGGGGAAATAATATTTGGATAACCCACTTCACAGAGCTGTCCTGAGTAAAGTGTTTGAAGTCCCAAAAGTCATAATACAGTTTCAGGACAACCTATACAAATATGAGTTAACTGCTATTCATTCATTATCTTCTATCTCTGCCATGGCAAGGGCTGGTATAACCTGATGGTATTTTAAAATGTCATCACTAAAATCAGTCACTTCCTTTCTTCTCCCACATCTCATAAAATGCATTACCCTCCTATCCCTTTACCCTAGCAATTCTCTGGTAGAAAACAATTTTAATGGACTCAATATCTCTATGAAACTACACACATACAACAAAAATTACAAAACCTCTATTTCCCCCAAGAAATTAGGTTATAAAAAGCATACCATGAAGTCAGGAAGACCTGAGTTCAAATCTGGCCTCAGACGCATAACACTCACTAGTTGTGTGACCCTGGGCAAGTCACTTAACCCCATTGCCTAGCCAAAAAAAGACCCAAAAAACAAAAACAAAAAAAAAGCATACCAGATGGCATGAGACTCTTCTACAAGTAAATTTGCAATTAATAACTATCATTATTATTTACAGATTAACAATCTTCTCTAATACTAGGGTATACATACATTTCAAAAAATTGTAATTGTTGAAAAAAACTACAGGAAACTCAACTACAATCTACATTGGAGCAAAACATCAACTTCTGTAAAATAATTATTTCATCCATATATTGTTTATAAAACCAAGAAATCTAAGGCTTCTGGATGTTTCAGACAATTATTTGACAATGAATATTCAAAACAATAAAAGCATATATTGTTTTCAAAACTCTTCTATTAGTATTAATACTCACATATATTTGTCAAAAAACCACACCCCAAATTCCTGATATAACTTTTAATTACTTTATTTGAAGTTCTGATTTAACTGCCATTCTGGATTTAACTGACATACTGGTTTTAGTCCCAGCTAAATTTTACAAAGAGAGACAAATATTTCAGGTTTTATTTTGTAAATATAAGCTTGAAATTTTACTGCAAACTCTTACTTGCAGTGGGCAATTCAACAAACCCATTCTATACAGAAGCTCAGGACCAAAGTCATCTCTTGACTGTCCAAATTTAGATGGCAACAAGAGACTTTTTTTAGGCGGCTAACTCCAACTTGGATCCTACTAAAATTCAATGTCACAAATGACACAAGCAAGTAGAAAGGAAATGGTAAACCTGTACCATGCAGTCACCCACAACAGTTCTGCGGCAAGCGAGAGAGAATCAAGGTACAAATGACTTGGCTCCCTTTTTATGCATCCCGGAGAGATGCAAAGAGAGAGCCCAACATCTTGATTCAAGGTCGGTGGCTTTTTAGGCCCCAGGGCCCCCCTTGCGAACTCCTTGAGCACGAGGAGAAGGGGAGAAGGGAAAGTATAGCTCTCAGACTGATTTCCATGTCCCTTCACACGCTGGCACCGAGGGCCGCCTCGCCTGCCCCAGAAACAAGCTCTAGAAATAGCGGTTTTTTCTCGCTGCCTTCTCCTGACATAAGGAGGCTCTAATTACCACTGGGCCGTTCCCGGACACCAAGGGAGACACAGAGAGAACCCGCCTCCCTAAGGAGCAGGGGAGACGTTACTTCCTCTTGCTAGGGGCGACTGGAGAAGCCTGAGGGCTTTTTCTGCCGTTCCCCCCCCAAAAAAATGAAACACACCCACAAAAAGCCACACCATTAAGTGCATTTTCCGCCCCGCTCCGCACTGCAGCAGCCCCAGAGCACAACCCTTCCCCCGCTTCCAGGCCGGGGGTTGGGGGCACCCCAACTCTTCTCCCTTCCGCAGTTCCTTCTTGGGGGAGGATCATTTTAAAATCTACTCCACAACCCAGAACAGGGCGAAGAGGGGCAACAAAGGCAGCGCCCGACCCAGGAGGAGGCCCCGCCAAGCCTGGAATTGGGGGGTTGGGGTGGTCTGGAGATTCGGGGGGAGCAGGCGGAGCTGAGGCGGGGGCGCTGGCCCCAGGGGCGGGGGGAGAGCAGAACGCGTCCAGGGGCCCCGCCAGATGTCACTCGTGCAGCCTCAAGCCTACAGGAGGAGGAGGAAGAAGGGGGGATGGAGAGGACTGGGGCGAAGCGTGAGAAAGAGCGGGTGGGGGCACTCCACTCGGCCGGCCCGGCTAGGGCCGGGCAGGGCAGCCGCGCGGGGCGCCCCGGGCCTGGCCGTTCCCGGCCGCTCGCGTCTTACCTGTGGGGTAGCTGCGGACTCCGCCGGGGCCGCCGGGCTCCAGGGACAGGAATCTCCCCCACATGGCCAGCTGGCCAGGGACTGCGGGCCCTCGGCCCTTCGCTGGTCCTTCCGCGGCTGCTCTTCGAGGCGATGGAAACTTGTGCGGAAAGGCAGTAGGAGCCGAGAAGCTCGAGCCGCGGCGGCGGCGGCAGGGAAGGCTAACGCGGGACTGCACGGCGGCTCGGCTGCTCAGCGTCGGGCCGGCGTCAGGGTCGGGTTCAGGGGCGGGGCGCCGGCTGCCATGGCCCGCTCTGGGCGACCGAGAATCGGGGACCCGGCTTCTTGTGGCCAGGCTTCGCAGCACAGTATGAAGTTGGCTGCGGCGGCGGCGGCGGCGGCGGCAGTGGCGGCGGCGGCAGCCGCTTCTCTCCGCCTCCTCCGTCCTCCGCCCCTAGGAGGCCGGCAGGGGCGGGGCGCGGTGAGGCGGAGCCGGCGGCCCTTACATAATCCGCGGGGCGCTGGGCGGACTGGGACGCTGCTGCGAGCCAGTAAGGTTGGATTGCGACTAGGACTGCCGAGACACCCGAGGACCCGCGGCCTCGACCTACCGACCGAGCCCCCGGTGGGGGCGGCTCCGGCTCGAGCATCATCCTCGCTCCGCACTGCCAGCCCAGCCCGCCCTCGGGAGGCCGTCCAGGCAGCACCCTCCAGGCCCTCTTCCCTACGCCAGCGGTCTGAGCCACGTGACCGTTGGCAAGCCCTCTCCCACCCTATCCAGTTCCATGCCCTATGAGCATCTGGGTCCCCTCGTCGTCCCCCGCACCCCAAGGGCGGGCAGGCTCCGATCTCCCAACTCCTGCCTTAAGTCGTTGGAGACCTGTTTCCTGCGCTGATTAGATATATCGTGTGACTTTGGACTTGAGTGAGAACAACCTGGGTTCAACTCCCGAGCCTAAGGTTTACCAGCTTTCTTACCCCTCCCCTAGGACAAATGACTGAACCTTGATTGCCTTGTCTGTAAAAGAGGGAGGGGTGAGGGATAATGATAATGACCTAACTTAACTGGACTAATGTAAGAATAAACCAGTAACCTGGTAGATTGTGAGCTCCGTGAAGGCAGGGGCTGCTTTGCCTTTCGGGGTATCCCAGCGCTTAGCACGAGGCTTGACACTGAGTAGGAGCTTAATAAATCCTCATCATTACCTCATCTGTAAAGTGAACTGGAGAAAGAAAAGGCAAACCAGGCCAGTATCTTTGCCAAGAAGACCCCAGATGGGGTTTCTGAAACGACTGGACAACAAGAAGGGCGGCTAAATCTATGATTGTATGTGTATATAGGGAACTTTGGGAGTGGAAAGCCCCTCAACTAGTGCCTACCATTCCTTAACTTCTTACTACCCCAGGCCACTCTGACTACCTAGGGCAGAACGGTGGTCAATATACGTAGCTGAAGGGAGTTTTCCTCACTGAAGAAATCCCTTCTGAAGCGAGGCCTCCAACAAGTGGTAAGAAAATGTACTTCACTAAAGAGGTGAAAGACTATGGACGGGGAATATTTTATTTCTGGCCAGACTCAATTGACTGGTTGGTTAGGGGTCGTATTCTGAAATTACGGATTATGCAAAACAAAAGATAAATACTTTTTTTTTAATCAAATCTGAACAAAAAATGTAAAAAGAACCGGGGAAGCCGATTAAATGAAAAGCGGTCCAGGCCTTCTTGGGGGTCACATGAGAGGGACCAGGGGGAGGTCTGTTTTACCAGATTTACACAGATGAAGAAATAGAAGATAATTGTTAAATTGTGAATTTTTTTATTCTTTTTTAATTTTTTATTATTTTGATTTATCAACAATCGCTTCCATATGCTTTTGAATTTAAAATTTTTCTCCCCCTTCCTTCCCCCACCCTCCCCACCACTGCTCACAATCTGATATAGGCTATACATATACATTCCTATTAAACATATTTTCACATTAATAATGTTGTAAGTAAAAATTAGAACCAATAGGAGGAACCACCAGAAAGAGGAAACAAAACTCAACAGAAGAGAAAAAAAAATAGCAAATAATATGCTTTGATCTGCATTCAAATTCCCTAGTTCTTTCTTTGGATGTGGATAGCATTTTCCATCACAAGGCCTCTGGAGATGTCTTAGATCTTTGTATTTCTGGGAAGGGTTAAGTTTATCAATATTAGTCATCACACAATGTAGTTGTTATTGTGTACAACGTTCTCTTGGTTCTGCTCACTTCACTCAGCATCAGACCATACAAGTCTTTCCAGGTTTTTCTGAAGTCAGCCTGTTCATCATTTCTTATAGCACAATAGTATTCCATTACATTCATATACCACAACTTGCTCAACCATTCCCCAATTGATGGGCATCCTCTCAATTTCCAATTCTTTGCCACCACAAAAAGAGCTGCTGTGAATATTTTTGTACACGTGGGTCCCATTTGTATGATCTCTTTGGGATATAGCCCAAGAAGTGCTATTGCTGGGTCAAAGGGTATGCACATTTTTATAGCCCTTTGAGCATAGTTCCAAATTGCTCTCAAATGGTTGGATCATTTCACAACTCCAACAATGCATTAGTGTTCCAATTTTCCCACTTCTCCAACATTTATCATTTTCCTGTTTTGTCATGTTGTAAATTGTTAATTTAAACTGGTAATAAATCCCATCAAAGTTCAGAAGTGAGCAGTAGTGGTTAGAAACCTTCATTCTACTCTCCTGATGAGATCTTTGTGATAAACAGCAAAAAGTAGGCAGAAGAGGGCCAAATTGCAGAGAGAGTGAGCCAAATCACCCCCAGTTTCCTGCCCATCCACTGGAAAATTGAGTTTTCTATTCGGCCTGGGAAATTTCAATTTCCTCCCATTCCTCTGCATATAGCAATTGGGGAAGCACAAAAAAGCAAGCGTCCAGGGAGGAGAATAGAAGGTGTCAGGAATAGCTATGCCTCCTTTTTTTTTTAAATCTTAAAAATAATGTATAATAGAATAATTATTCCTTAGGTAGTTTCCACAGCAGCCATATGTTAATGTACATCTATTAGGACCATTATTAATAGAAATTTTCATTGCTCTAACAATATTTAAATGCTTCTAAAAAGAATTGTATTGAGACTACATCTTTCAATTCATATTAGCCTTATGAACCTCATTACTAGAGCTCCTGACACAAAACCAGGTTTGAGTTTTATCTCTGCGGCCTACTGGATGTAGTCCTTCCTCTAACACTTAACTAACAGGGCAAATCATTTTAACCACTATAAACCTCCATTTCCTCATTTTATGGATGACAATATAGATAATACATAAACTATCCATCTAGTGGATCTACAATCAAAAATCAAGCTGGACACAGAGACTAAGTTAATAGTGAGAAAGAGCATACTTTGCACACTCACTTCCAGCAATCAAAGCCATCTGCTTTTCATGACATAGATAACTACTAGGGGGTCAGTAAATAAAATTCAAGTCCCTTCTCAAAGCATTCAAAAACCTCTACATGCTGGAACTACCCAATTCAAATGCCATTCCTCCACAGAGTCATCTTTCTTGATTCTCCTATTGGCAATGACCTTTCCTCTTGGACTTCACACAGCACTTTATTTTGCAACTTTCTAGTGAACTTATTTAGTATTGTTTATTATAGCTATCTGTGTTTGTATCTTTTCCATCTAGGTAGTCTGTAGATTTTGTGAGTTCAGGAACTATCCTTTATCTAATCTTTGTATATCTGACTGCACCTTGAACAGTGATCTGCACACAATAGGTGCTAAATTTTTGTTGAATGTCTTGAATGAAGGTTGAAACTCAGAGGGAGAAATCTTTGGAGGCCAGATATAAAAGGATCTTTCTTATGCAGAGAACAGTAGAACAAGGACAGTGGTCTGTGGGTCTGGGGTGGGAAAGGTGACTAAACTTGCAGGTCTGAAGTCTAGGAGGAGTACTTGGGGGGAAGGGTGAGCCACACCCTTCTGCCACCGGCCTGGACTCACACCCAAAACTACAGTTACAGATTCTAGAGAAGTAAGAATACTTAGGGGGTAAATTCAGCTTGCATGTGCTTAGAAGGAAAAAGACCGTTCTTGTTTGGGGCCACTTCTAGTTCAAGGGGGATCAAGATGTTCTAGCTAGGAACTTTGGTGAAGGATAGCTTACAAAGTTTGGGGCAACCAGGGGAGGTTTCTTTTACGTATATTTCTAAGCCCTTGATGATGGTTGGCATTAATTCCTGTAAATACAAACTGAGATGTGACTATAGATTCATAGTTTAATAACATAGCTCTGATTTTTCTTGAACTTCATAGGACTATTTATTTTTCTTTATCACCACCACAGTAATAACAATCTCTTTTTTGGGGAATTATAATTTAAGGAACAAATCTCATTGTTTTTAAAAAGATAAGGTAAATGTTAAGGAGGTCAACATTTTTAATTCTCTTATATACATCTGTATTTGTATATACATATATACATATACATGTTATATACATAATATTTAATTACTATTTTATATATAAGATTTCCATCCTCCACAGTTGTTAGAGGATGGATGGATATTTTTTGGAGTAACTTCTAACTTGCTATTAAGAAAAGATTCAGGATGGTAAAATAGCTTTAAGTATGATTTTTAAGTTTACTATCACTTCAATTTTACAGTCAATTAAACTAATAGAAGAAGATTTATTCAAGGTCATAACAAAAAACTAGAATAAAAGGCAATCTTTGTAATTAAAATATTGGACTTCTTGACTCTACCATTTTACTGTGTGTTTGGGCAAATCATCCCAGTACATCATTTCATCATCTACAAAATATAAGGGTTGAAATGGATGATCTCTAAAGTTCCCTATCAGATTAAAATGCTAAATGTAATTTAGAATAATAAAATTATTTTTAACAATAATAATTGCACTGAAAGTACTCTCTGCCCTTATAATTTCCTCCTCTGATTGGTTCCTCAAAGAACCATCTTAAAGAAAATGCCCAGGTCATCCATGTATTTATTCTCTCCACTCCATTTCTGACTCTCCAGACTTACTCCACCATGCTACAGCAGCCTCTCATCCTGAAAGTTCAAACAACCCTGACCTGAGGCTTCTTTACCCAGAAAGTTCATTAAGCACCAGGCCTTCTAACATAAGATGTATACTCCACCCCAAAGGATCCTTCCTCTGATTGGTTGATTCCTCCAAAAATCTCCA